AACGCTGTACGTTTATATCGTAAAGTAACGGGCAGAAACGTTTACATTATTTTAATCTACAAACATATTATTATACAGAGGGATTTTTTAAAAATTATTCATCACCCCATTTGTATACTTGAATTATGCATATTCAAATTCTGATTTTCGGAATTTTTAATTACATTTGGACACCATATTTTCGAATATTTGACAAGTATTGTACCATTTAAGTTTGATTCTGTAACAATACTAACTTCTTTTTTTCAAATGGGAAGAAGGAGGCTTTTTCACTTTTAATTCAGCAGATATTTCATTTGAGAATTTCGATTTGGATACACCAAAATTCGAAGGAGTAATTTTTGAGTTGTGTAATTTTGCGTACAGGTCAAATTATAATGGTGTGTAGGTATGTTATATATATGTTTATGTAATGGGAAAAAAATAAATATAAAAATAAATATAAATTAATTGCTATGAAAAAGATGGGTCTCATATTAAAATTAGAATTTGTTATCGCTTAAGTAGTACAAAAGTATAAGCAATTTGAATATATGGTCTTTATTCCACTCTTTAGGTATATTTAAAAATTCTAAAATGCAGAATTTGAATGAATGTATTATTAAAGGTAAAAATGACCGTGAGCATGCTTAAAAAATCACTCTGTATACAGTAATTTAAAATAATAAATTATCATATATAGATAACTAAAACATGGTTAGTACACTACTTTTACATTCATTACCCCGAATAAAACGATAAATTATTAATAGAGCCCACTGATCGTTTGGAAGTCGAAAACTGTTTAAAGTTTAAAGAAGTTAAGTTTTTTCATACAAGCACAATGGATAATAAAGCTCCAATAAAAACAGAACCTCCCCTTGAGATTAGTATATTCGAATAAAATAATGCAAAGAAAGTTAATTTGTAATTTAAGTACCTATAATTACAATATTTTACTTTAATAAGATATTTATAAAAACATTTAAATAGTTTTTAGTATTAAACTATTGATATTAATAATTTGCTGTGATTATTGTACTTAATTATTTTATTTATTGATGTATAATATAGCACTGTTGTAGTTGTACTGACTAATTACTATAAATTAGAAAATGACATACTTGATTAATCTGTATTTTTGTACTTATGTCTGACTCAAAAAATGTACTCAAACATTTTGTTAGGCCTTCATTCAAATCGAACTTTTTGATTGCTAATCGCGATTACTCGACTAGCATGCTCACTATCAGGTAACTGGGGGGGGGGGGTGTTCGACGGCTGTGTGTGGTAAAATTGTGAGTTCACAGGCACCAAACCGGTGTTCCGTAAAATGTGTTGCTGCCTCATTTCCTTCTTATGTGATTTTCCCGGCTCCAGGCACTCGCGCTTTAGCTCTGTCGGTGTCAACTGATGACGTTTCATCCGTCATGGGGCACATCCAGGGCACACAATGTTCAGGTACAGCGCTAGTTGAGCCATGTCCGTGCTTGTGATCGGCCGCAGCTTGTGAAGTAGTGTGAATAAAAATAGAAACGAGAAAACCACGAGCGTTGAACGATAAGTGCGAAAGAAATTTCGGCATTGTAAATAGAGCCGGCTGCTGCTGTGGTCATTGATACAATTCCCGAGAATTCGAGTAATAGCGAAACTGGGTCACACGCGACTCGCGGTGTCGGCCTTGGCGGTAACAGCATTACCGGTTTGCAAGGTCACGGTCGGCGCTCCGCTGTTCACGGTAGTGATGTCGAGGGGTAAATGGTAATCGGCAGACGTGTGCGAAGTTGGCTCTACAACGAAAAAATCGATCCGGAACAATATTGTAAGTTAAAGATCTTCATTTTGTTTCCTGTTTAACTGACAGTAGAGGAGGCTCTGTTTTAACATTTCTACTCCTCTGCTGTCATCGTTTATTGGCGAATAAATTTAAATAAACACAAAATATAACATACAAATACATATAACACATAAATTACATTTCTCATAACGCTCAATCATCTCCCAATATACACAAATAGATATAGCTCTTTTCCTAGTTGCTCCTATTCTCAGCCCCTTGTCGTATGTCATGTTTTCCCGGAGAATGCTTAGTCGTTTGGAGCGACTACCCTCGGATAGTTGGATTGCCTCTTACTTTAGCTTTCGCTAGCCTCTCACCTTGTTCCTTGCAGCTAAGTATTCTTTAACTATTTTATAACAATAATATAAATATCATAATATCTTATTGGTATCTAACTTGATTTTATATATCAATATTATTTTTCCACTATATCGCTGATAGTTTTTAGAACATAAGTAACGATGACTATAATACAGTTCATCGGTCCTAAGTTAAGTAGGTGTTATTTTCAAAATAAGTCGAACATTTTTGCCATTATGTGGTTAATTATTTTTAATGCATACTGAAATAATCAAAACATTTTAACTAATTTTAAGCTATATTTATTCTACGAATCAATAATTCAAATTATGCCTAGGTAAAAGTTGAATATTGCTGTGGCTCCTTTTATTTTCCATATTGTAGAATAGATAATTGATTGGTTTTTACTTTTTATTTGACAATATTCACTAAATATGTAATAATACATGACACCTATTTAATATATATTGTTGACCTACTGCCATTTACTTGCCTTGATATCGTCATTATTATTACTAGGTACCACATAGTTATTGTAATTTGTTATTATACTGTAATTGTTATGATATTTATAATATCTAATCAACGCTGAAAGCTTCTATACTATTAATAATAAATAAAAATTAATATAATGAAATGAAGCTTTAAATGTTTAAAGGATTAGAAGCGGTAATGTTGTCTGTCATTGGAGTCTTACAGATGGAATTTATTGATTTAGACGTGTTTTCATTTCAACGGAGAGATTGATTTGATCCAGTGAAGTGATAAGAATTCTATAAAAAATATTAAACAATTTATTCAGTTATTGAAGAAGTAAAAATCAAAAAATCTAAAATGTGGGAAAGTTTATTTAAAGTAGACTTAACAAATTAAAATCTATTTTCGTGTTGAATTATTATTTGAAGTCTACTAAAACATTTGTATGAAAATGTTGAGGCAATTGCAACACTCATTTCAAGTATTCCACAGGTGATTCTGAGTGAAAAAAGTGAAGTCATTTCAAAAGTGATCGCTGATTATTATCTTTAGTCTGTAGTTACATACATACTCACAAGATGTTAATTTTCATTAACACAGTTCCCCGATGGGAACATCTCGTTTAAAAAATAAATTGTTGCCCTGTTTATGTATAACCTAATCAATTTTTTTTCAGTTACAGAAACTGACATAATTCACCTTAATATTGCACTGTGTGCAGGTCTTACATTTTTCAGTTTAGTTTAATTTAACAATTATTATAAAAGTACAGACTATTATAGTACTTATTGTATACGTTGATAGTTCATTAATTATCAATTATCCTAAAACTGTGTATAGGAGATTTTCTTACAGCCTTAAATATTAAATATTGATCTTTAATAATTGTACCAGCTGGAACTCATCCTCATATATACATTTCAAATTTTAATAATTTTGTTCATAAATCTATGTAACTATAGGCTTTAACATTGTATTCCTGTTTATTGGGATTTGATACCAATCGATTTTAGAGGGTTCAGTGTGGGAAATATTATCTACTCAGTTCAAGAGAATGAGCAAATAGTAAATTATTATTAGTAACTAGTAATTGATCAATGATCATAATTTTATGCTGAATGAGGCTAATTAATATCGGAGCACTTCATTGGCGCAACAAGTGGCCAGTGCACTTCCAACAAATAAAAGTCTTTCTATTATATTTTGATTATTTTGAAGTAAATAATACTAAAGTTGTTTTGCTATGCCTATTACCTATACTGTATATTGAGGAATTTAATCGGTACTTCACTATTATGTTCTCAGCTATAACATAACATTATGAAATAATCTTTAGTTTATTAATGTTTTATAGAACAGGTGACAAGTGAGTGGTGACCACCGGTACTTGATAATTTGTGTCACAATAATCATAATAATATAATATAATATAATATTGACTTAATAACTTTGAACACAAGGTAATCACATTTTTCTTTATTTATGGTAGGATGCAGTATAGGTTTGGGGATCTGAGAATACATTACAATTTGTGCACATCCAAAAATATTGGTCTAGTTGAGCCTATGGAGCACTTCCGTACACCGTATACTCATAGTCTTCACTTTTCAGTAACAATTCACTACACAATATAAATTATTTTGATTATTTTTTTTGCCGAAAGTATCAATAAGTTGATAGTAATTAACCTATTTATCCGTTAAAATGTCTGAAAACATATTTAAATTTGAAAAGTTCTTACATTTAAAAATTAATTTTCTTAATATTCAACATTTAAAAATATAATTTTGAAGTGTTTAGTTGTTTAGTTTCAATACCTGGACAGCTAGTCACTAGTCAAGTAAAGCTTATGACAAATTCAAATATATTTTTAAAAGTTTTAACTAGGGTAGAGTTGGTGCACTTGGCATAAAGATTGGACTATTTTGGTAGAAAACACAGATGGGATCGAATCTTCTTAAGCCTCATCTATTTCTTCATAACTATTCATAAACTTTGTTTTTAAAATCCAGTGTACAGTTACCGATTTTCATACACTCGTCTATAATTTACCTACTAAATAATAAGGATCGGTTTCGATAATATTAGATATTTATGAATAGCAGGAGTAAAATAATTTATTTAGTAATGGGTGTGCTAATTGGTATTGTTTAAAAAAAAAACTGTAGGTATTATATATATGATATATATTGATATAATAAATTATAAAAGACAATAGTTTCAATATTTTCTCTTTTGACAGAGTTTCATTTTAGAAAATGTTTCTCTCTTTTTTTAAATATAAAAGTATATATTTAAGGTAATTATTAGTATTTCAGTATTTAATTAATACACTTGACATACAATAAAATAAACTTTGTTGAATATAATATTATTTTACTTAGTAAAAATGCATAAATGTTAAAATAAATATTAATAATGCCATTTCCTCAGGATTATAATATTGAATAGCATAATAATATTATACTTAAATGTATGTACTTAGAAGGAAAGTTGTTGATAATTTTTGCATTTTGTTTTTGGACCACAATGGGCGATGCTTTCCCAGCCTAAAATATGATTCAAAACATATGATGACTTTATAACTAATTTTAGTTTTGAATTTTGAATTTTTTGCGGATATTTAGTTTTACGTATTTTTTTGAAGTTTTAAGGCATTTATCACTTTTTTTCATAGTAATTGAGAAAACAATTACTAGCTATTATTTCGTATGTTTACAAATCGTAATTTTAAATTTTAAAACCAATAAATTAACAGTTCTATGAGCATTTTTAATTGTTTAGGTCATTAGCATGAGTACACATTCTTAGGGAATTTGCGTAGGTACTTAAAGAAAAAACATCTGGGCCCTAATGATAGTGATTGCACGGAGGTACTTTTGGAAAAATATAAAAATGAAAAAATTTTAATATAACTTTAGTAGTTTATTAAAATACTCTTCAAGTGTATTTAACATAATACAAGAATTGTGAATTTGTGAATATGATTAAGTGATTTAAATAGGTAAAGATGTAATTAATTTAATGGTTATTGGTTTTTTGGTGTAATCGATTGCCCGATACCCAATTACTACCTATAGGTATCTACCTGCCGCTAGTTTTTGCGCTTGCCCTGAAAAACCGAGGAAGAAATGTGATAATGTTTCTTTTTATTGTGTTTTATAATAATATTATAGATATAATAATATAATACTATAGATGATTTTTGATCATCACTAACCTCATATGCACTGAATACATATAGTACTATGTAATATTTCTATCACTTGCGCGTGCACTACATACGTCATATTGTAACGTCGACGACTAGGGATTTTCGACTACACTTCACTACATCGCTAAGCTCTGCCATTGATCGGCGAGAACTAACTACGGTTTATTCCCGGGCTAGTAATGACCTAAGTACTCCGACGAGAGGACGTCGGAAGGAAAATGAAATTCCGGTCGTTCGGGGGGCGGGTTTCCGCCCTCACGAAATTCCGGTCGCTGGGCTGGCGGGTTTCCGCCTGCTTGAAATTCCGGTCGTTGAGGTGGCGGGTTTTCGCCTGCAATAAATTCCGGTCGTTGGGGGGGTGGGGTCTGGCCTGCAGCAGGGTTGGCGTTGGCCTCGCGGTGCAAGCGGCTAAAGCGCCTGCGCATGTTCGCCGCTATGGTGTTGGGCGAGCCGGGATGCTGTTCGTTGTTCGCGTTCTGCAAGACGAACATGACGTGGCAAAATATGTAGTCGTCGATCATTTCGGTGGAAGCGCTCTGGGCGGGTTCCTGCGGCGACGTCACTCGTTCCGCGCGTATGAGTCTGTACATTGGAGTCGCCCGGCGTCTGTCGTTCACAGCTTGAGCATAGGCGAAACTCGGAAAAAAGTAGAACAAGGGTGAGCGAATTGTGCGGCACACACGCCGTACGATGGACCGAAACAGACTGACTCGTTCCCGCGGTAGATGGAGCTCGCCCGGACAGAAGTATCTGCGGCAGACCGGGCACGTACCGTGCTGCAACAAAAATCATATCATCAAATTCAAAAGCAATAATTTATAACTGATTGCGTTTATGACAACTACCGATGCCGGGCAAATTTTCATTAGGTCACCCCCTATTAAACATACATAATGTTTAAGCACACATTTTTGCCCCCCCCCCCCCTCAGCACGGTTCTGTGGCTAGGTACCTATAAACAGTTCATATAGGTGTAGTATTTACGTAAATGTCCATTAAACTATATTATATACCTATTAAAGCAGTGATAATATTATAGAATCGGTGTTTCCGAATTGCGTGCGAAAATCATTAACTAGAGGTTGAATGGCGTACGTACTCGGTTATTTTTTTGCGGTGGTACTGGCTTGCACTTAATACGACCAATTATGTATTTAATATTGAGAAAAAACGGTCGGATTTGCATGAAGTGAAAAATTTCATAATAAAAAATATAAGTAGTTGTACAAACAATCATGTGTTATCATATATTTGATGTAAATTACGGTTGGAAAAAAAAATTAACATTTCGAATAAAAAATTGCATGAAAAAGCTGTTTAGTAGGTAACGCTATGCTGTACAGTAGCAGCTACTTATTGTAGATCTGTACCTTCTGTGTTGAGTGTACTTTGTCATTGAGTAGGCTCTGTAATAGATGTGTTAAATGTTAATTCAAAGATAAATCATTGTATTCAACGAAAACCTGTTTTGAGCTAAGACAATCTACTCGTTACAGTAATCAAGGTTACTATTATTTAGTGAATAATATTAATTATTTAATGTTCGTAATTTTTTCCCTAGATTATTTAAAAAAATACCAACTGATTACCTTCAATTTTGATTATCTAAAAGTACAAACTACAGATCCAATTAGTTACCAGAAACCTACTTCAAAGTTGATGATCAGAGAAATAATTGTTTCCACTAGAAAAAGTATCTTCAGACTCCACACACAAAATTTTTTTTTTTAAAACACACAAATCATTATAAAATCAATTCAAACCAAAATAAAAGTAAACAAAGTTGATGTACAAATAATTGAGTAACAATTTTTTATTTTTCTTATAACTACTGAGTTTTTTTCCGAAGACATTTTTCAATTTTTAATTAGAAAAATGTAGTTTTTGTTATTTTACATTATAACTTTCAGTTATTGGTATTTTAAATATTTATATACTTGTACAAAACCCAAATGTGATATGTAGCTATATCTACTATTTTCAATTAGCTTTAAGAATATTGAAAAATATAATTTTATCCCACCACAGTACATCAGTAAAAAATTAATTCAGCAGTGAAAAGGTGTTTACTTTTTCTTAATATAATATATTTACACAAAGAGGTAACGCTTTTGCAGAGACGTATAAGTTATGAAAGTGCCTTAAAATTAATTTTTATATTTAATATTACATCCTTATTAATTCGATTTGACCGAAAACTGTAAACCTGCAAATTAGTAGCATCAGGTATTTGTTGATTTATAAAATGAATATTATCAAAAAAAAAAACAAAATTTTTTATAGTGGTCTGTATTTATTATATATATATTATATATTTATATATCGCGAGCGCGCCATCGACAACTCGACGACAGCGACGACTGAACATCCGCAGGACGATCGTCGATCGTCGATCACATAATATTACAGATGATTAAATGTAGGTATAGCGATAACATTACAGGTACTATAGGCTTATATGGTGTTCACGCCGTAACAGTATAAAAAATAATTTTATATGAAAAAGTCGAAAAAGATCACTGCAGACAATTGATTGAACAGGTTACACTTTAGGGTTAAGAATAATATATGAATGTAGATTATTGTAGCTAAATATATTTTGTGTGATTGTACTTACTTATCGTTTATTAGTTATTCATTATTGAAATGAAAAGTGAATTGAGCTTACTGAATAACTATTTTATTTGTTTATTATTAATAAAATATTATAAGGACAATGACTACAATGTACTAATGTACTATCTTGCCAATGAAAAATCCTTTCTGTCCACATTATTTACAACAAAATATCAACTACCTAATATTAAAAAAAAACAATTACCATTATAATCCAATGAGTGATGCATCTCTCATGAAATATATGGTCACAAGTCAATTTCATCGCTTCCTCGCCAAGTTCATATTCGTCCAAGCAAACGGTACATTGGAGTCGCTTATCTAAAAATAAAAATGATATCAATAAAGTTTATAAAATAAACAGTTTTTTTCAAAGTTTTAGTTTCACATTGGACTTTGGATCCAACCTTTTATGGGCGGGACAATAACATTTAAAATTCAACGCTTCATAACTTTATGGTATTAAATAATAAAAAATAGAAATTACGAGTAGGTACCTATAACGATTATTTCTAATATTATTCATAACGATTTTATCTAGATATTTTTTTGTCATTCGATTAATTAGGGACATTTTTTTTATATTATCAAAAATTATGCTGAATAACATGAATTATGCACTATGACGAAACTATATAAAAACCTCCGTGACTCGAGGTTGGAAACTACTGCCATAGGAAGACGAAAAATTTTAAAATCTATAAGTTCGGTTAAGCCTTGTAAATAGTTCTTAGATTTTCTTTAACTATTACTTTACTAATAATCTAATATAATGACGTAACACAGTGGTTTTCCTACGATTTTAGTTCAGTTAGGGTTTTATCTAAAATTATTCAGACTCGCGAGGCGAAGGGTTCATCTAGATTTACATTATTTTTTTGCTGAACAGTTTTTGTTAAAATAAACTATAGAATTAGAATCAAATTTAGTCTACATTTAACTTGGTCATCTATGAGCCTCTTCAGGCCATAATAAACATGGTAATAAGCTATGATACGCCATGATGATATGATACGACGTCTATGTACGTATTATTCTACTAACTGTAGCGTATTAGTTATGGTTGTAAGTTAGAATTTTTTTGTAGAAAGAAGACATTTCAGTGTAATGTTAGACTCTAGAGCCCTATCACTGCATACACCATGCAAGTAACATTCTTAACTTCTTTTATTTTAAATTATACATCTGTGTTGTAAAAAATTTTAGTCGGGAAATAAATAAATACATAAATAAGTATATAAATAAATAAATAAACAAATAAAAATAAAAATTGTATAATCACTACCATTATTAATAATAAAATATTAGTTTTGAATAAATTCATGTTATTAACTACTAAATTGTATACGCCTTACAACTTTATAGTTTTCATATTGACTAAAAAATATAAAAGGCTATTCGATTTATGTTATACCTATTTAAAATAATTTAATTGTGAAACTATATCAGTCATTGAAAAAAATTTCGAGTCAACTATTAAAACCTTCTAAAAAAAACTCATATATATATACTATATAATACAATATAGTATTAATTTTGAAATAATACATATTAAATTATGAAAAACAATAAACTAATTCTAAACAATATTGAACACATGGATAAGTGCTTCCGTTCTTAACATCGTTATGAAGTAATACCCACTCCTATCATTTGCGCAAAGCAAAAAAATGCAAACTTATTGATTTTGGGTCTTAATATTGAAAAAAATGTAAACGAATAGAGCCTGTAATTTTAAAAATGATCGATTCGTTTGAATTTTATAATAAGTATTAAAAAGAAATTTGTAATATTTTTATCAAATACTTGTTTTTATTTTTAAAAACTGTACAATTGTATTGGCTCTTGTAAACTATAATTAAATATTTGACAGCTATGATTTAAACCAGCCAATATGTTACTCAATAAACTACGGAAGACCCAAGCATTGAGAAAATAACTGTAAAAAAAAAGTTTAGATCCAATTTATTATAATATACATAAAATAATTGTTACGTCGTAAAGAGATTTTACCTATCTGTTTTTTAGTAATATGTATCGTAGTCAATAAATCCGTTTCATCTTTTGCATTTGGACCATTAGTTGCATGTTGACCAGCACCAGCATTAGCATCAGCATTATTCTCCGTATCTATTACGCCTATTCCCCAGATAAAGCTAATAATTGGGTTTAAAAAAAAATCTATAAATGTATTATTTATATTTATTAATATAATCGTAGTTTGACATGACGTCATTATTGTAACTTACACTCGATTTCCATTAGACTGTAAATATTTGGCTACGTTTCTTGCAACATTTTTCATTTTGTTAACAAAATTTTTATTGCTAAAACAATACATATTAAGTACACATATTTAAATTATTTATTGCATACACATTTTATTATATTTTCTTACGCTAATCAGCTGTTGTATATTATTGTTATAAGTTATAACAATGCTTGCAAGTGTATCTATAAAAATTATGACTAAATTGAACATCCCAGGCTCAGCATTTAAGACTTACGCAAGACCATTCTTGAATAGTTTTTAGAAGGTATAACCTATGCCTTCCCTAACCTAACTTATAAAAACTGTAGATACTGTAGATCCAGTATTTTGGAATTTTGAAATTTATTAAATGTATTATTAAAATAAAATAAATTAAAGTGTATGCATAGCATATTATATTTAATTATGAAATCATTAAATTTTAATTAAAAAAGTAGATTCTGTTCCAGAAGGAAGTAAAATATCAGAGGGATGGTTTCAATATTACCTTCCAAGTTCATCTGCACTTTTATCATGATCTAATGATTCTTGATCAGGTTCATTCTTCTTATCATGGTTCGATTTTTCTTTACGAAGTTCATTCTTTTTATTTTGGTCGAATGGTTCTTGATTAGATTCATTATTTTTATCATTGTCCATTGGTTCTCTATTAAGTTCATTCATTTTCTCAGGGCTTAATGGTTCTTGGTTTGGTCCATGCATTATCTCACGGTCCAATGATTCTTGATTAGGTTCATTCGTTATTTTATGGTCCAATGGTTCTTGATTAGGTTCATTTGTTTACTCATGGTCTAGTGGTTCTTGATTAGGTTCATTCGTTTTCTCATAGTCCAATGGTTTTTGTTTGGGTTCATTCATTTTACCACCGTTTTCTTTAACCCTACCTAAACATATAATTTTAAATTTTAAATATAAAAAATATAAGCAAACTGCGAAACTATTGTTCAATGCAGTTAAAACAAACAGCTGCAAAGTATAAGTAGCATTCTGCTGCACAGTAAGTATAAAGTGTACCTTGTTATTAAATAGGTCAATATAATGGATGTGTCAAATTAGAAGGAATTTAATGGTACATAATTGCACACGACAAACGGTTCTGAGAGAAGACGGTTTGTCAGCCTACATTTTTAAGTAATTTTTATTATATATTATATTGATTCATTTTATTATTAGTCATACCTAGGTACATATATTGTATATTATATATCTGTGCATTATAAATCCTAAAATTAATCTAAATATTTGAAAATAGCATTACGTGTAATAAAATATAAACATATAGGCGTCTACGTAAAAGTTTCAAGTCCCCACAAATGTTTTTGAATTTGCAAAAAAATAAATAAAACCGTTCTTCTTTATTAAATATCCAATTTCGTCGAAATTTAAACTTCAAGTGTCTATAAAAAAAAATATGCTATTATATTTTTATATTTTTGGATTTCAGTAAGAACTACTTAAGAGGAACCTTGTATTAAATTGAAAAGCCATTTAGCTATTCAAATTTAATATTTTATGAATGTTCCTTGTTTTGTACAAATTGTATGGGACCTTGTATGCATTTTGAAATCCTAGGTATGAATATAAAAAATTGTATGAACTTTAAGCTTCAAAATAATTTTAACATTTTCTTGACTCTAAGCGTTCATACAAAATTGTTGTATTTTCACTCAAATTTTATTTTTTTTCTGTATTAATAACTAATGTGGAACATTGTATTAAATTTGTAAGCTTGATACTATTGAGACTTAACTTTTTATCCTTACTTATTTATAGAAGAAAAAAAACTCAGAAAGGTTGACTATATATAAATTATTGTAAATTCAAAAAGATTTAAAATATTTTGATAATAATGGTAAACACACCCTATTCCAGTTGTTAGGGGCTACATATGCACCTGTTGAATTACATTAATAAAACGTATATAATTATAATAAAAAGTATAATATAATAAAACAACTACTTTGTTAGTTAGATATCTTCTGTATAGATGTATAACATGGAGTCTTTCAAATATTAATTTATTTTAAAATAATATGTTTATTGTTTTGTGTGTGAAAAACAACATTGTACAATACACATCCACTTCAAGATTCAGGTTGCTTATCTATACATTTTTGAGGCTTTGAAAAATAAAAAAATATACATACATAATGATAATGTATATTTAAGTTAAAGTATATAGTTATTATAATTTCTTTAAAATCATTTTGTGTTAGCTATTGATTTCTTATTATTTTTAAATTATTTTAATTTAAATTCTGAAGCAAGAATATTCTTAGTAAAATGTGAAATATTAATATTAAATCATTTGAATTTGAACTTCTGATTAGTGGAGTGAAGTGGCAGTGCATCAAGGGACACCCCATTTAACTGTGGTGGTTGGTAATTTGCGAGGAGTGATCTACCCATTTCAAATGCTTATATATAAGAATTATTTGTTCGATTTTTGATATTTTCTTATGTTAACATTTAAAATAAAACTATGTATTATAATATGATTTCAAGAATATGGGTAGCTATTTAATAAAAGTAAGTAGTTTGATAAAAAAAAATTTTAATCTAAAATTATGGTACCTAGGTATTAGAACTGTGATTAATATTTATCTATGACCGTTTTATAATGTGTAACAGTTATTTGAGGTTAATAAGTACCAGAATACTTTAGATAAAATATTGCAAATACTTAGAATTTTCGTAAAATAATTTTTAAGAACTATGACATATCCATACAAAAGTGTGTATCATAACAGTACTCTCTGTATATACGTGGTATACAAGATTTAAGTACATATTTGAAAATATTTTCTTAAATTATTTTAAAAATTTTAAAAAATGAACTGCTAATCAGCCCGTATATTATATAATATATTATCATATATGTGTATAAAAATTTAAAAATAACTTAAATATACAAATTAACTCATTTTTCAATAAAGAGTAATACTATTAAAATGAAGAATTGTTCTGCTCATTTTATTGAGCTACGATATCCTAAGTAAATAAAACCAGTAATAATAATAGTAAGTAATATCTACCTTCATATATTGCAAGCGCTTCAGTTATCGATCGGTTTTTATTAGAATTCCATTAATCTCAGCTGGCACAGGTGTAGGTCATGTACAACCCAAAAATAAAATAAGATTGGTGAGCAACGAAAAAAAAAATATATAAAATAAAATAAAATAAAAAGAAAAGCTTAACGTCGACAACACAGTAGGTGACAACTGACAAAGTGAAATCGAGAGTGGATTTTATAACACCAGTAGTACAACAAGCGTCACGAGCGAGCAGGTTCACCACATCCCGTTTTCATTTTCAACTGCTGTATACAAGTTCTGATACCCTGGCTAAAATATGTATGCCACAGTATTGATTTTTCGTGTTTGGTGTGGACATGGGGTGGTCCAGAGACAACGGCGCAGGGTCCAGCGTCAAGTTAATTTCACGAGTCCCCACATTATTATGTAATGCTCACCCACTGTATTATACTACTATTTCTATTATTATACATTTATTTAATTATTCACACAGTCAATATTATTGCATAATATGAAGCTGTATACTCACACCATTTGAAGAAACTATACATGATTTGTATTGTTATTCAGTTTCCATCTGAATCTTATATTGGTTATATAATGTATTATTCGAAATGCATACACTCATTAAAATTTTTTTCCTCAATATTTGTATTTGATACCTATTAAAATGACAGTTTTTTGCTAATCGTAATAATTATAAAAATTCAAGGTTATTTGCGTTTTAATATATTGATTGTATAAAATGTGTGACGTTACATACATTATGTCTCGGGTATGAGGTTCTTGGGCCCAAATTAGTGCATTATAAAAACCAAAGACCTCATTAATAATGATTACTAGCCAAGCCTGAGTTAAAAGTTCTGTCATCAGCACAAACAATAATACATGCGATTCGGCTACAAAAGTTATTGTTATAATACATTACAACCTCCTTGATGAATAGAACATATTGATAACAGTAAATATATTATAATACATATAAACTCGCTCATCAGTCATGCGTAACTAGGTACACGCTACACCCAACCCCTGCCATATCTACAGAATCAATGATGTGCGGTGTCAATATATATTTCATTAAAAATCATCTGACGTAGACACATAAGCAATGTCACTAATTCAAATTAGAGTGCGTGTTTTTGGAGCATTACTTTTATGAACAATTACATTTTGATTGTATAAACTGATTATTTTATCAGTGAAAAATATGTATTTTTTAGAGACTTTGTAAAAATGTAAACACTAAAAATCAACAAGGAGCTATAAAACGGCTATATGAAAAAAACTTTCATTGAGTTTCCCTGAAACTTGAAATCCGTGACAAATCTTATAATTGAAAGTTATAGGTTAATACTACCCGGTTTAATTTGAAACGTACCAGTAGACTGTAATATATCTATACAACAATGTGCACCTGTCATTGCATATTATTATATGTACAGCGCTATTCGATTTCAACAAGTAGTGCCGCGGGGGAATAGTGCGTTATCCACCACATTGAAATTGGCATTCAGGATGCTGACTCCAACGAGACTCAATACTCCTATACATAATATAATATATACTTAATCATTATTATTATTCTCGCTTTTTATACAAACAACGATAATGCAATAACGTATATATAACTCTATAACTACCTTATATTACCAGATACAAGATGATAAAGGTACACCTTTTTCTCATTGGAAAGTATCAAGTGGTTTTTACAGAACAAAATTTTTGTAAAAAGATTTTATTTTGTACTCTAGCTGTCTAATCGCTAACGTATCTGTTCCTCGATGACCTATGACCTANATATACATTAGTCATGCACGTTCCCACGATGGATGCGGGGAGGCCAATATGTCAGTATTATAGGTATAGGTCAATATATTTGGACTAGCTGTGGAAATAGTGCAGACAAGTTATTAACAGTATTTTATATTTGTGAGAAGAAAATTCATTTTAATCTTGTCTAATGATAAAAAATAAAATATTGTTACTATAAAATTAAATTTCTTTAGAATTTGAAAATTTTGAAGCCAATATATTATTATATAATATTGTGTATTACACTTGTACACAGCTAGAACTAATTTTTAAGTACCCAGATTCTAGGTACCTACATTATTTCTTTTAGTTATTTATTTACAGGCAGTGAGCCTAATATAATTCACATAAGGTAACTGGTTGGAAGTCGTAGAGAAGATGATTAATTTTCAGAATTTATGATGAGCTTAAAAATCTTATCTTGATACTTTCTATAAGGGAGGATTGCATTATCGAACAGGGGTCCCATATTAGGTACTGAGGCATACTCTATCGGGAATCTAATAAGGGAACAGTAGATAGACTTCAGTGAAGCAGAAAACTTAAATTCCTTGGTTAAGCATGACACAAAACCAAGGTCTTTAGAAATTTAGAACACGTTGCTTCAATGTGGAGGTGAAAGCTTAGCTTAGGGCTGAGCGTGACACCTAAATCTTTTTTCATACCTACTGACTCAAAGGTGACATATAGGGCTTATTATGACGTATTTATGTTTGATAATAATATTAAATATTATGTACTTTTAGAATAATTATTTTCAATAACCATTATTTTTTCTTTAAAACATAAAAATGTATATGAATGTAATGTTATTGAAAAGTAATATTTTGTTGAGTACGAAGATAATATTGACAAAATCGAATGTGGTGAGTTTCCACCTGCTAACGCCGGTTCGAGACCAGGACCACCTTGGTCTTCGTATTGATTTAGAGTAGTTGTGAATTGTACATCGTATATCCATCACACCAACCAAGAAATTGTGCAACAACTTTTTTCAGAATTTATGATGAGCTTAAAAATCTTATCTTGATACTTGGCTAAAATATGTATGCCACAGTATTGATTTTTCGTGTTTGGTGTGGACATGGGGTGGTCCAGAGACAACGGCGCAGGGTCCAGCGTCAAGTTAATTTCACGAGTCCCCACATTATTATGTAATGCTCACCCACTGTATTATACTACTATTTCTATTATTATACATTTATTTAATTATTCACACAGTCAATATTATTGCATAATATGAAGCTGTATACTCACACCATTTGAAGAAACTATACTTGATTTGTATTGTTATTCAGTTTCCATCTGAATCTTATATTGGTTATATAATGTATTATTCGAAATGCATACACTCATTAAAATTTTTTTCCTCAATATTTGTATTTGATACCTATTATAATGACAGTTTTTTGCTAATCGTAATAATTATAAAAATTCAAGGTTATTTGCGTTTTAATATATTGATTGTATAAAATGTGTGACGTTACATACATTATGTCTCGGGTATGAGGTTCTTGGGCCCATATTAGTGCATTATAAAAACCAAAGACCTCATTAATAATGATTACTAGCCAAGCCTGAGTTAAAAGTTCTGTCATCAGCACAAACAATAATACATGCGATTCGGCTACAAAAGTTATTGTTATAATACATTACAACCTCCTTGATGAATAGAACATATTGATAACAGTAAATATATTATAATACATATAAACTCGCTCATCAGTCATGCGTAACTAGGTACACGCTACACCCAACCCCTGCCATATCTACAGAATCAATGATGTGCGGTGTCAATATATATTTCATTAAAAATCATCTGACGTAGACACATAAGCAATGTCACTAATTCAAATTAGAGTGCGTGTTTTTGGAGCATTACTTTTATGAACAATTACATTTTGATTGTATAAACTGATTATTTTATCAGTGAAAAATATGTATTTTTTTAGAGACTTTGTAAAAATGTAAACACTAAAAATCAACAAGGAGCTATAAAACGGCTATATGAAAAAAACTTTCATTGAGTTTCCCTGAAACTTGAAATCCGTGACAAATCTTATAATTGAAAGTTATAGGTTAATACTACCCGGTTTAATTTGAAACGTACCAGTAGACTGTAATATATCNGCATTGGTGACACATATGCTGCAGTGCCTGTATGTCTACTACATTGCACTAAACAATTTATTAGAAGTCAGTCCATTGATAACACTTGATAATATTTGTAACGTGTTGTAAACGTATTTGTAAACGTCTGTGTTGATCGGCGGAGGAGTGGTAGTGTTAGGTACGTCTACACAACTAAATAATTGAAATAAGCAGTGAGGTGGTTAAGAAGTATACTTTATTTGAACACTATGTGAATACCAAAAATACACGGATTTGTGGAGGTTCTGTTAGACTGACAACGACTGATTCGCAGAGCACGGTCGGGCAGGTCCGCTGTGGCTCAAAACTGTCCAGGCAGCGGAACGCCATATACATTAGTCATGCTCGTTCCCACGATGGATACATGGTTACATATATAATATAATATATATGTCTACGAAATATTTATATTACAAATACTTATATTGCGAAATGAAATGGGTTTATAACACCCCACGACTTAAACGAGAAATGGGGGGCTAAATAGTCACCATTTTCTCCTATGTTTTACATAAAGAAAAAACTTCAGGCCTAGGCAACGAGAGACTTTTTTTTATACATCATGCGGTTCTGCGATTTCCGGTGAATATAATTTTGGTATACTGCATCGATACTTAATAACTAAGTACAAACTTATAATAGCTGATGTAATGACAATTATACATAATAATATCAAATGATGTTCCGGTTTTACAAAAATATTTTTTGTGGTATTCTTGTACAATTCCTGAAGTTTGGTTAACTCTTGGGATTCCCGATCTAATTGGTTAAAATGTATGATTACTGATTTTCTGAGGTTCATGATGTTCTGTTATTTTCTTAAGGGATAATGGTAAGGTTAGACTTGGACTTTCGTGTAAGAAATCTTTATGATTTCTTGTTTTGATATTCTTGATTGGCGTGAGTATTGAGTGGTCTGTATAGATCACGCAACACTCCGGAATGTTTATTTTACCTACTCCAGTAAGTGTTATTTTATACGGGACTTGACGACATGCTACTGTTATCACCCGATGAGTACAAAAATACAGCCACGAATTTTGATACTGAAGCGTATGCCATATAGTGTTGTCTTAACTCGAATACCTCAGGTTACATGTGTCTAACTAACTGTCTGGATTGTTGTACAAAGATACATCAAAATTTTCTTTCTTAGTGCGTTTAAATATTGATTCTAGTTCAGTATATAATTTAAATGAGACCAGTGACTTACATTAATAATATTGAGGTTCTGTAAGAATAAAATGGTATTCGTTATCAAAACTCACTGCTAAATATTGTGTATCTTTATTAATTAGAACTATATTCCCGTTCGAA